TGAAGGAGTCTGAGTAACCTGCCATGTGTGCCCTGGCTGCTGCTACTGCCTAATTCTAAAAACCTTCATCTCTCCCATGCGTCTGCCTGGCTGTTAGATCCTAGTAATGTGAATTCCAGCTCTGCTCCTTTCCAGCTCTGTGTGCCTGGGGGGGAAGCCATCTAATCCCCCTGAGCTTCAGTCTCCTACTTCCAAAAGTCACCATGAGAATTAATGTTTTGGTTTTTTTTTTTTTTTGACAAAGTCTTACTATGTCACCCTTGGTAGAATGCCATGGCATCACAGATCACAGCAACCTCAAACTCTTGGGCTTAATCGATTCTCTTGCCTCAGCCTCCCAGGTAGCTGGGATTACAGGTGCCTGCCACAATGCCTGGCTATTTTGTTGTTGTTCTAGTTGTCATTGTTGTTTAGCAGGCCCCAGGCCAGGCTTGAACCCACCAGCCCCAGTATATGTAGCCGGAGCCCTACCCACTGAGCTACAGGTGCTGCCCAGAATTAATGTTTTTTAAGTGCCTTGCGCTGAACACCTTGTGCCCAGTAGTTGGTGGGCAATGGCACCACTTGCAGCCATTAGCGGGGCGTGGTGAGGGCAGTGCTCATATCCTCCAGTGAGTATCAGGTGCCCCCAGTATGCAGCTGTGAACAAGTCACTGCTTTACCATGGGGGGAGTCCAGACTGGTTGATGAAAACACATCTACCTAAAGCTGGCTTGAGAAGAATACTTTTAATTTATTTTTTATAATTAATTATTTTTTATTAAGTCATAACTTTGTACATTGATGCATTTATTGGGTTCAGGGTACTGCTTCGATATACAATGTGAAATGTTTACATTAAACCAGGTAACACATCCATCAGAATTATACTCATTTCTTAATAGTTTTGAAATGTACCAAGAATACTTTTTAATTTACTGAAAACTGCTTTCCAAGTTTTTAATTTTTAAGCAACCAATACAGGTTTGCAATAATACCAGTAACTCAAAGATGTTACTTTATAGCAGTCAGATTTGGAAGAAGTCTTTATGGCTTGATTTTTCTTCCATTTTATTTTAGTAAATGTTGACCTGGGTTGGTCCTGAGCACTATGGTACTTAAAGGTTTTCTGCCTTTTGGCTCAAAGAAGACGAATTCAAGGAACACCTGAGTTTGGGTATAAACACAAGAGGACTCCTCATCCCTGGAGAGAGGGGGTCTGACCTCTAACGACATATTTTTCTTTTATAATTGGTAAATATAATTGAGTCCTTCCTTAATATGGGAGTCCCAGAATTTAAATTTTATCCTACTTAATTTGAGGAAAATAGCTTTTTTCTACAAGGCTACCACAGTTTACCAAATAATAATCTCTCTACTGAAAGTTTGCACACCTGTCCACAGGCAAAGAACATGTTTATTTACTTGTTTTCAACACCAATAAAAGTTAAAATAGTTCTCTGTCTGATTCAGAATGAATAATCACTGATGGAGGTTGTGTTTAGATTTCCTCCAGGAAACTTCCCCTCCTCATCAGTTCGCCCCCTCACTGTTTCCTCTTCTCAGCTGGACTTGGTGCTTACTGGTCACTGTTAGCTGTAATGTGCTTTTTAATATTTTGGTTTCCCATTAAAATTCTTATAGCCTAATAGTACCCTGTACAAGACAAGAGATTGATAAATTGTTTTTGAGTAAATTTATTTAGTCTTTGCAATGATATCTTTTGTAGTGAAATTTCAGTTGAAGATTTCTACTCAAGAGTAGTTTCATTCTCTTTCATAACAAGATTGGAAGGTGTTTTCTTTCTTTCTGGCAGAATGAAATCAGCATGTCCTGGTGACAGCTTAGGAAAGGTGTAATTGATGTATTTCTGGAATGCTGCCCTGGTCTCCTGCAGCTCCTCCTCCAGAAAGTCCTTCCAGTTGGTCATGATCCCCAGCTGCTTCGCGATGGACAGCAGCTCCCCCTGTGTGTTCACCAGCTTGTCCATCACATTGCCGAGAGTGGCCTGATGGGTTTTCTCTGCTTCTTGAAGCACTTCCTGGACCTCTTCTTGCTTCTGCCTTTGAGCCAGGCCAAAGTAGACATTCATTTCATGTTCTTTCTCCTTGATAAGCTGGTCTACATCCATCTTCTGATCCTTACAAACTGTCACTGCAGTATTCACAAGTACCTCCATGGCCTTGCTACAAAAATAATACATATTTATAAATTAGATGGATTAGTCACTAAAAACAAAGTGATTTTGTCTTTAACCACAGACGTACAAGAAATTCTTACATTGTGAGATGAACCTCCAGCCTGAGATGGCTGGTGTAGATGAGCGTTCAGATGGCATTGGCTGTCATCAATCAAAAAACATGTTTTTGAGCAGCACTGTCCACCTGCTTCCCTGCTGTGGGCTATGGTGAGGCCAGTAATCTAGTGTCTAATGGCAACTTCAGGGACCTGAGTCCACACTGTGTTTAAAATGAAGAAATAGGGTCAGAGTTTCAAACTCTGTAGAGAAATTATTTCTTTATATCAATCCTGCTGCTTACTTTTAGCCAGAGGGGAGAAAACTTTATAAGCACAGACCAGATTCTGCTTTATTCTCAGTTTGATCTGAGCAGTGCTCTGGTTTAATCTTGGTTGATCTGAGTAGTGCTCCATGACAGCCACCTCACACTTTTGGTCTCAGGACCCCTATACACCCTCAAAATCATTGAGGAAGCCAAAGAACCCATGTTTATATGCACTATGTCTATTGGCATTAACAGCATTAGAAACTAAAAGTGAGACATTTAAAAAATGTTTAATTTATGTAAAATAAATCTATTATACATTAACAAATATCTTTTATGAAAAATACATTTTCAAAAACAAAAAACAATGAACATAAAATGGTATAATTGTATATTTTTGTGTAAAACTCTTTAATGTCTGGCTTAATAGTAAAGAAGTTGGATTTTCATATTGTTTCAGTCTGTTGTGATATCATACATAACAAAACCTCTGAAAAACATCATTCTATATTCACAGGAGAATGAGAGTGAAAAGACAGATAATATCTTAGTATTATTAAGAAAACAGCTTTGACTTCATGGACCCCTCCTTAAGAGTCTTGGGGACCCTGAAGGTTTCTCTGGATCACACCTGAAAGAACCAATGCCCCCTGAGAGAATGATGACTAGCCCTCTGGCTGTAATGTTGTGATTACATATAATTTATGGCAGTCAACCATACTGACCTTGTCCATGTCCAAGCAGGTTGGTGAGTGTTCTGGGTATGTGTTAACTCAATGATTCCTCAAAAATGATTCTATATGGCGATTCTATTACTATGCCCTTTTTAGGAAGAAGACACTAAGGCTCAGAGAGGTTAGATAACTTGTCCAAGTTTGCTTTATTAGTGAAAGTGGCAAAATCAGCACTGTAGCCCTGGTAGTTTGAGTCCAGGGCAAATGACAGACTTTCAGTAGATTTCTGTAATTAAGCTAGTTTTAGCAGAACCTTGAAAGATTTGAGAATAAAAATACCTGCAAATGTTGGATACAAATATTTATGGTTGTTAATAAAAATCCTTCCTCTCTGCCTCTCTGTTTGATCTAGCTTTTCCAAGATTTATCACTTTCCCTATCTTTTATTTATTTTGAGATAGAGTCACACTCTGTCACCTGGGGTAGAGTGCTGTCAAGGTAACTTTATGGAAAGCTGAGACTCCTCAACTCAAGCGATCCTCTTGGCTCAGCCTCCCAAGTAGCTGAGACTAATATTGTGTACCATAATGCCTGGCTAGTTTTTTAGAAATGGGGTTTCCCTCTTGCTTAGGCTGGTCTCAAACACCTGAGCTCAAAGGGTCCTCCTGCCTTAGCCTCACAGAGTGCTGGGTTTCCAGGTGTGAGCCACAGTGCCTGATCTTGCACTATCCTCTAAATTCCATCCTCCAAGATGCAATTATTTCATTTTCTCTTTCAATTTGACCTTCAAACCTGAAAGAATTCCCAGTCTTAAAGCAAACCTCATTTATCCTTAGCCTGTCTAGTTCCTGTGCTATTTCTTCCTTTTCCCACCAACTGAATTTCCATTATTAATAACACTGGTTAATGTTTATTAAGTACATATTATGTCCTGGGGACTGTGCTAAGCATTTCACATGCACCATATCATATTCAATTTTCATGATAACCCATGGAGCTGGTACTATTTTTACTTATGACCTATGATTATTCTCATGTAATAGGTAAGGAAATTAAAGCTTAGACAGATTAAGTTATTGTTCTATAATTAGCAAGTCAGAGAGTTCCTACCCTTAACCATTACCTGCTTCAATTTCATGAGAGGGCACTGTAAGTTTTCAGTCAGGAAGGTAACATGATGAAAATAACTTTTTAGAATTGTTATCAGGTAACAATGGGTGAACAGAATTTTGTGGGGTGAGTTAGAGAGATCAATTAGTGTCATTTGCTAATATTTTGGAGCGGCAATGATAAAGGTCTGAATTAATGATGAAAGAAAGGGGTAGGAAGCAGAGAAAAGGGATAAACTCTTTTTGCAAGAGATATTTTAAAGTCACAACTGCCAGAATCTGAGACTGCTTGGACATAATGGATGCAGGAGGAGGATGAATCAGCACCAATTTGCAGGTTGTTGGTGTGAGTCATAGCAGAATGAGCGCTGCTGTGAGCCGTGTGCGCCCCCCCACACACACACACATACTCTTAGGGCTCAGCCTGGGGTTTTAGACAGTCTTCAGGCTGTTGGTCAGGTGATGTCAGTCCCACAGAGCCACTGCTCTGTCACAGGCCAGCCCTGTTCTTGCCTGCATGTGAGAGCTTTCATCTACAGGGATACTGGATGACTCCACTGAGCTGACCTTGGGAAGCCTGATCCAGTAACACAGATCTCAGGTGATTCCAGCTCCTGCCCCTAAGGAGAGCCCCCTTTAAACTCCCTGATATAGAAAATCTGTTCTTGATAAAAGAATCTGGTATTTTTTGGAATGTCCTTTCCAACTTTCCCACCCTGTCTCAGACTCTGAATTTTTGAACCTCTGGGGTCCACTCCGTTTGGTTTACAGTAAACTACAGTGTCTCTGAGTTTTACTGTTGTAGAGCTGGAGCCAGGCTGAGGGGTGGGTGTGGTGCATGGCTAGTGTGGCCTGGAATGCCTGTTTACTGTCCTCTCTCCCCTGCGAAGCATGGCACTTAGTGTGGATACAACAGGCAGCCAAGAAAAGTGTGAGTGAATAAGTAGGTAAAACAGATGTCATCTCTAGAACAGGCTGTTGTGAAAATAACACCAAATTCTAAAACCACTAAATTGGAGCATTACAAAAGCTTAAAATAATTCATGCTTTAAAAGGATTCCTAACATGAGCAAACTATTCTCCATAGGAAAATAGTCTGTGTGTTGTATTTAAAATACTGTTCAATTTCTGCAAATTAGTCCACCTCCATCCCTCCCCCTTCTCAAAGAGGGCCTAGAATGCTCATGCATGAGGAAGGGCTGCTGGGACTGGGTGGGTCAGCACTTCTGGTTTTCCTTTCCTTCTTCAAAGGACGTCCTGGACATCCCCTCCTCAATGTCTGAGGGGTCACTGTGCATAGTGGAGAAAAGGGAAGGTGAGAGCAGTGTGTTGGGTCACTCAGCAGGAGCATGACAAGCAGAGCATTCAGCACTTGGATCAACCATGTCACCTGCAGCATTGGTCCTGTCACAGGAGGAGGCTCACATGACTGGCTCCCAGCAGAAGGGATGGTTGGCACAGCTCCACCACCGCCAGCCCCTCTGACATGAAGTGAGTGTCAAGAAGGTTCATCTCCCACTTTTATCTTTGTGAGGCTGTAGGCTTGGAACTTGAAAGCACACCCTATTAAAGAGTGACGCTGGACAGAAATGGAACTATTTTCAAAATAGCTGTAGTGTGTGTCTGCACCTAAATGATTCAGTGTAGTATTTTATAAAGTGGGTTCTTAGAGAATAACATGTTACTAAGTAAAAATATAATCTAATATCTAGTGACCCAGTCTTACTGGGATGAAGGGGGAAAATGAAGCACAGAAATCTACACTGGCAAGCGCTCTGTTCCCTTCTCCAGAGGGAACCACCTTTACCAGCTTGTCTTCTCATTCTTCAGGGAGGCTGTGGAAGTGGCACAGGACACACTGCTCACAGGCCTAAAGAGAACATGAATGGCTACCTCTCACTACTTGCTTGGGGGGCTCCTCAGTGTCCTTGTATATGGCATGGCAGCACACTTTTAGCACCCTCTCTACACCCATCAGAGAAACGCAGGTTTTACAACACTGAGAGACGGTGCTTTGTTTCCCCCACAGACAACTTCTAAATTATTAAGAAATTTGCTCCCCAAATTCATTCGCACAAAAGGATTGGAACAATGTTGAATATGGTGGATCATTTGTCTGGTTAGCCCACCAGCAATTATCCATTTTTCATTAAAACTACAAGACTGTTAGAACCATTTCAATCAGCTAAAATGATTGTGTTTATAAGAAAAATATGGTCTTACTTTTTTACCTGGGACACTGAGAACCCATCCTCCCTGGTCTGGCAGAGGCATTAAGGAGGTCAATGGGGGCATCTCCAAAGGCCAGCCTCCAGCAGTGCTCTATCCACCACTGGCTCCTACCATGGCTTGATCATGATGTTCTCCTACTCCTGCCTCTCTTATCAGCAGGGCCTCCTGCCTTCTCTCTGAGGCAGGTCAACTTCCCAAGTTCAACTTTTTCCAAAGACCTACCTCATCACCACGTATCCCACCCACGTTTTGCTTGATCCCACGTGTCATTCGTCCCAGCCTGCCCATCCATCCTCTACCACATCACCATCACTTTAGTCACTTCACGTGATTTTGAGAAAGGCCCTGACTTCTGTGGGCCATATCCACGGAAGGCACTTATGAGCTCTGGTGAGGTAGACAAACTCTCTAGGTAACTCATGTAACCCACAGTTCTCCCCCTTAGAGTAGGCCATGTAATGAATGGAAGGTCACAATGTCAGCATCACACAAGATAGGGTCCAAATTGGGGTTCTCTGTCACCTGCTTGTGCTGTGAACACTGGTGGTTTGCTTAGTTTCTCTCTAAGACTCCAGGTCTAAGTCTGAAGATAACCAGGAAGACAGAATTCCCCAGGAAGGAACACAGGGCTCTACAAGAGGCATACTCCACACAGAGGAAGGAAGAGGGGATTCCAAAGGGCA